CACGTGCAGCAATGGATGGTCCGTTTAGCACACCTTGGAGTCCCTACCTCATTACTTTAATGGAGAACTGTCTCATTTCCTGCCTTTATTTTCTTCCCTCTTGCTTCCCTTTGCTCTTTCATTTACTCACCTAACATTTACTGAAGAGCTGCTGTGTGCTGGGCCCCTTCTCTCAATTCTCTTTCCAGCGCTGTCAGGTATGTCGTATTATTATCTCAGTTTTGTAGAAGACAGTGAAGCTCAGGGGATTGGGGGGTCTCCCCCCCCCAGCTGTCATCACATCATCACCTATCTATCTCAGAGAAGAGAGTATTTTCTTTTAAACCAAGCTGGGGTCGTGCGCACCACTGGACACATGCTTTCCGATGCTTCAGACCTCGCAGCTGTTTTAATACCAGCCCCTCTAGGGTGTCTCCCTTCCTCGGTTCTTTACCCGAGGACAGATTCCTGGCTTGCTTTCACTAAGGAGGCAGCAGGCGTTGGAAAAGCTGATGGTGTGGCCCGTTATCAAGGCTGCGGACTAGGGCCTCCTGTGAAGTGAGAGGTCCCTCGCCTCGGGACTCTCTCCAGTGAGCTGGCTGGTCCTTTGGGGGATTTCCACAGTCCTTCATCTCGCCCTCCTCCGAGCAAAATCCTGGGCCTTCACTGTGGCACTATGGCCAGCTGGCTCGAACAAGGAGCGTGTCTCCTCTTCATTTTTGCTCTGGAAAGCCCTTCTTTGGATTGCCTGTGGTACCCATTACAAGACTGGCACAGAACCGCCCAATAACCATATGTTGAACAAACGTCTCTTGGTTCTTGATTCAATGCTGGAAACATGCCTGTTTGTCCTTAAGAGAACAGCTCGACCCCAGGGCCTCCACAGAAGCATCCAGGTGACCGCCACTCCTCACGGCAAGGTCACCCGTGGCTCATTTTCGCCTCACTGTTTCCAGCTAGAGGGTGGAGACTCAGGGAAAAACACTTCCGTCATTATTCCTGTCTCAAGGATCACAGCTGCCACAACACACAGCACTGCTGGTGGCATTTACAGCTCCTGGGTGATGTGGCATTCTGACCGGGTGCCAGCGGGCGTGTGACATGGGACCTGCAAGCCACTCTGTTGACTGTCACACCTCGATTACTTCCTCCAGAGCTGTGTGCTCCCTGCACGTTTGTGTTTGGGCTGAATTAAGGAACTCCACCATTGGTTGTACTGTAATGTTTTGTGCTTTTAAACTTTTATACAATTTCAACTTTCCAGAGAAATTGCCGGGCGGATAAAGAAGCTCCAACTGCCCTGCACCCCAATTCACAAATTGCTGGCATTTCCCCCAAATACACCCTTCTTTCACACATCTCCACTGTCTGCATCTGTTTCTGAATGTAGACGAATAACCGTGCGTTCACACTGGTCACTTGGATGGCATCTGACCCTGAAGAGGTATGCTCGTCTCCCCCTTTCCAGACTTGGGGACCTCCTGCGTCCCCAGCAGTAATCACCTCTCCCATTATCTTCCATCCAGGACTCATTGGCTCACCTCCACTACACACCTAGTTTAACATTTGTTTCCAGCTCCTTTTGTCTTCAGATTCAGGTATATAGTTAAAATTCTGTGCTCACAGCTATATCCCTATGTCAAAAGTCATCAGATTGTGTACTTTACATAACTGTAGTTTATTGTCAGTCAGCCTCAGTAAAGCTGTAGAGAAATGCCGTGTTCAAAACTTACTTGGGGTGCTTCTCCAGGAATCTTTTTAGGGAATTTATGTTAAGGTTCAGTTAGGTTGATTTGCTCCTGTTTAATGTCTCTTTCAGGGTTAAACCTCCTTCTTTGTTGATTTTATGTCATTTTTTGAAGATGTAAAGCATTAACATGGTTCCAAAGTCAAAACTAGACAAAAGGTTGTTTTTAGAGGAGGCAGCACCCTCACGCCCACTGGACCCCTCTCCACCCCTGTAGGTAACTGACCTCATGGTGTCTGGCTTATTCCTCCTGCAGTTTTTTCCTTTTTTTCCAGAAACACGCAGATGGATGTATATTTTTCGTGTTTCCCTGTCTTTTCATTTACGTATTCATTTATGTTTACTCGCTCTTCCCTTTAACACTGTATCCTAAAGTCACTCCACGTAAGTTCATATGGTCTTTTTTGGGGGCAGGTATATACTATTCCATGTTTTCTTCATTTTTTACACATAGATCTCTGATGAATTTGGAGTTTATTTTTGTGAATGGTGTGAAGTGTGGGTCTGGTTTTTTTCTTGTTCCCAGAGCCTACCCAGTTGTCCTATTTATGGAAAAGTCGATTTTTTTCTCCAGCGGTTTGAGATGCCACCTTTATGATGCAGTCCTTGGGTCTATTTTGGACTGTCTAGTCTATTCCACTTGTCTGTCCATGTGTTGGTACCACATTGTTTTAATGATAGAGGCTTCGTAGAATATTCTAAAATCTGGTAGGCAGGCGTCTTATTGGAGCATTTTTTTCAGTGTTTTCCTAGCCATTCTTTCACGTTTCTTTTTCCATGACCACTTTAGTATCAACTTGGCTAATTTATACATTTATAATTAAAAAGGAGTGTAATTTATAAATTATCAAGGAGTGTTTTCCCACTTGATCAAGTATCTTTTGTGGCTTTTGTAAAGGGACGTTTTAGTTTTCCTCATATAGGTTTTTCACATTTGGTGTTAGATTTATACCTAATTATTTGATTTTCTCTGTTGTTATTGTAAATGGAATTTATTCTACCATCATATTTTCTAAGTAGTTATCGCATGTGTATATTAAAACTATCGGCTTGTCTGTTCATTGTACAACCTGCTGCCTTGCTGAAATCTTTAATTTGGCCTCTTCATTGATTCTCGTTGTTGGAGTTAGTCTTACTGATTCTCTAGGGTTCTCTAGGAACACTCTCATGTCATTTGAAAATCAGGGTGGTTCTACTTATTCCTTTCTAATTCGTCTGCCTCTCGCGGTTTCTCGTCTAATTGCACTAGTAGGTTTCTTCAGTGTGATGGTAAATAAGCACGGCTAGAATGAGCATCCGTGCTGACTGCTGTGTTAGTTTGTAAGAGACCGTGCACATAACACGTTCTGAAGGACAGAAATACCGGTAACCCTACCGTGTAAGTGTCTGGATATTTTTCCTCATAGCTAAAAAAAGAAATTTAGTAAAAAGGGTAAAAGTACAAATTTAACTATTCATTGAAAACCCTTGTGTTGGGTCCCAGTTCTACCATGTTTCTTTAAAGACCCTTTAAGATTTATAGACTGCCTCCAGTACTCCAGACACGATCTTAGATTCCTTCTGAATTTTTACTGCACCCATGTGAAGCGGGCATTATCCTCACTTTATAAATGAGGAAGTTGGGGTTCAGAGGTGAAATGACACACAGCTCTTCAGGGTGGAGCTGTGACCTTGAAGCTGGGTCGCCTGGTTGGAATTATTCCAAGCCCTCATGAATTTGTTTCTCAAGGAGTGGCAATGTAGAAGGGTAAGAATCAGTGTATTTTTATTTATTTATTAAAATGAGTTTATTTGAGCCAAACTGACAGCATATACCTGGGAGCAAGATCTCAGATGCTCCAACAATCTGTATTTTTAGAAAGCAACTGTCTTAGACCCTCTTCCGGTGATTCAGGGTCACAACGCTGTATGTTCAGTGACGTCACTGCGGGCTGAAGTGGGACCCAGGCACCCTCAGCGAGAGTGATCTTCCGCTCAGTTTCCCGGGATATTTGGGGGAAACGTCCCGGATGGCATCAGGGGCCCAGACCACGCAAGGCTTCGGGGACGACGGAAAGCGTCAGGGTTGTTAGATCCAGGAGCTGGGACGGCCCGGCAGCGAGGAAGCACTCAGGTGACCAAGACGGAGCTGTGTTTCGTGTTCACCCTGCTCTACGTTCTTACTGGTGCTGTCTGGTTTAATCCTCACAACCACCTAAGGGCATTTTTTTATAGATGAGAACTGATGCACAGAGTTAACTAACTTGCCAAAGACGACTGCCGACTGCCGTCTCCAGGCCCCAGGCTCCGAAAGTCCTGGGAGCGCACGACCTACCAGCTCGCCTTCCAGGTGTGGGCTTTTCTGTCACCTTGCTGGGCCGGCGGTGTTTGCTGCTGGTAAAGGAAATGGAAAGGCCAGGTGCACTCAGGGAGAAGAGGGTCACCGACATGCCTGAAGCTCTGTGTGACGTGCGCTCTGACGGCGCTTCAGCCTACCGGACTTGCTGCCAACCTGCGCCAAGTGCAACAAACCTTGCGCGCTGACGCAGCTCCTAAGGGCCGAGTCCCGAGCAGAGCCTGCGTGCGCGCCCAAACACAGGTTACGTACGTGACAGGCCTGCGGGCGGGGGTCCCCAGCCCTCCACCGCTTCGCGCCGGGGAGGTGGGGTCCGCAGTCGCAGAGCTGACCCCGGGCCACCGTCCCTGTTTACGCGACCCCTGTGCCTGCACGTCCTGTCTCCTTCGTGCCCGTTTGTACAAAAGTAACGTGCCTGTCCTCACGCTCCCGGGACGTAAAACGCCACGAAACAGACTTTCCGGCCGGCTGGAAGCGAAGGAGCAGTCGGCGGGCGGCGGGCGCCGGGCCGGCCGCAGAATCTGCCCGGAAGCCCGCGTCTCTCGCAACCGCCGCGCCGGCGGCCCGACATCCGCCCGCGGGGCCGCGGCTCACTTCCGGCCGAGCCCGGGCGCGGTGGGCAGCCGGCCGGCAGGAGCCGGCG